CGCTCGGTGGCCCCGACGCCGCAGCCCGCGGCCAGCCCCGCCCCGCGGGCTCCTACACCCCCACCGCCGCCCTGCACCGCCCTCGCCCCCGGACTGGCCGGCGCACTGCGTCCGCCAGATGGTGCCCGAGCCGCTGAGCGCCCCTGCGCACCAGCAGGGAAGGGTGGGGCGCCCAGGAGCGTTCGCGGGTCCCCTCCCCTCGGCTGTCCAGGTGGCGCTGCCCTGAAGAGTTCACTGACTACAGCTGAAGGACCGGCAGGATAAACCGTCCACGACGTGACCTCATAGGCCAGTCCTGTACACAGTGCTGGTCTCCTCTTCACAGTGGCTCCCCCTCCCCTTCCTTTTGCTTCTCCTCCTGTCCTTCTGCGGTCTGTCTGTCTAGGCTCTGTCAAGCTCTTCAGGTCTCGACTAGACACCAGCCTTGAGTCGACCTTTGCTCCCAAACTCTACGTTGTCCCTTTTCTGACATAGAACCAGGCGTCTGGCTTTGTATTGTACTTGCCTCTTGTCATATTTGCTAGGGCTTTGTCTTCCTGCACGTCATCAGTACACAGGTATGCCCACTCGTGTGTAGGGAAGTTTTTATGTTTGTCCCAGGCCCAGGCAAATACTGTATTCCCTTTGAATTCTTCGAGTGCCACAGCTGTCTACTTGCCTTACTTTTGGCCTACGTCATTGTATATCTTAGTATTTCTGTTCACTCCTTCTGAGAAAATGGTACAAAAATTTCCCACGACTGTTGATTTTTCCTCCCCTTCCCCATGTTTTGGAAGCTAACAAATCTAGAATTACGTCTTCTTGATAAATTGACCCCTCTATCATTATTACATGCCCTCCTTCATTCATGGTAAAATTTGAGGTTCTGACGTCTGTTCCAAGCCACATCACCTTCTTATAACAGCATGTACATGCTACATTTTATCTTGCTTACACCTGTTTAAAGCAACAACATAAACTGGGTCTTGTGTTTTCATTTTATCTAGTTTTGTAATCTCTGCCTACTAGAGCATTTAGACCATTCACATTTAATGTAATTATATATATTTGGTGAATTTTAAGCCTGCTATTTGATTTCTATTCATTCCATCTTTGTTCCATTTGCTTCCTTTTCCTATGTTCTTTGGATATTTATTTTTAGAATTTCATTTTTCTTCACTATTAGCATATTTTATATATCCCTGTATATATAAATATGTATACACATATACGCACACCTGTATGTATTTACCTTTTTTTAGTGGTAGCAAAAATGCACCTATAATTTATCTGGGGGGCTGACTTAAATAAAAAATGCAAATATCTTTCAATGAAGCAATTCATATATTGGAACCTAATATACCAACACATAATATGAGAGGCACGAGGATGTTTATGGTACAAAAATGTTTACTGTAGCATTTTTCTAAAACCACAAAAGGAGAAGACTGTAGAATAGAAAAATGGTTGGAAATATTATGAACCACAATGCAACTATTTAAGAAAGTTAAGTAGTTTGGGGAAAATGTACAACTTAGTAAGTACAAGTAGTGAGTTACAGAACAATATCTCATATTTGTAAGCAACAATCATAAATGTTACTTTATTTATATAAAAATAGGAAGTTTTTGGACAAAATAATAGCAAACACAATTGCATATACTAAAGAATCACATTTAATAATCACAACAGCCTTGTGAAAAATACCATTACTCTTTATTTTACAGATGAGGAAGAGAGAGGCACAGAGAGGTTAATAACTTGCCTAGGACTGCATGTCAATACATGGCCGAGCTGGCATTCAAGACCCACAGGCCTGACATTTACCAGCAGGTGTGAGTTGCAGAAGAGAAAATAAATAATTTTATTTTACATTTTTAAATTATAGAAACCCCTTGATTGATGTGATTTCATCAAGATAAGCCCATCAAAGTTGAAAATATTATAAATAAAAAATGCATTAATACACTTAACCTTCTGAATGTAATAGATTAGCTCTATAGTCCACTATAGAGTACTGGTCATTTCCCTTTGAAATCTGTTGGCTGACAGGGATGTGAGGCTGTGTGCTGAACCCCACATCATTTATTTATTTATTTATTTATTTAAGGAACCGGGGATTGAACTCAGGCTCTTGTGCTTGCCGGGCAAGCACTTATTCTACTGAGCTATCTCCCTGGCCCCTCTGACCCCCGCATCTTGAGAGGAGACATCATATATTGCTAGCCACAGAAAAGATACAAAGTTCAAAGTTCAAAATTTCAAGTATGCTATTACTTTTGCACCATAGTAAAGTTGAAAAGCCCCAAGTCCAACCATCATTAAGTCAGGGACCAACTGTATTTACACTGAGGTAAAAGTACTTTTGCATTTGTAATGAACAATTCTGACAATTGTTAACTAGAGATTAAAACTCTAACGTATAGAAATGCCACAATGAGGGATGAAATAATAGTGAGTTATCTGGTCTATATTATTCTGAATCTGGAAATAGACTTTCTGGAAAAATGAGTAGCTAGGAAAGCTGGATGAGATATGATTTCACAGAAAGGAACTGACTTGTAGGACTAGGTACTTTCATTGTGGCACTTTGTGAGAAATACCAAGGTTTACTCCTGGCACATTTCCAACATTACCACCTTCTATTTTCAAAAAAAGATTAGGGGACTTAAAACTTCTGCTTGGAAAGCCCCAGAGGTAGTGTGCTTATTTTTTGAAAATTAGAGTGCCAATGTTAGGACATTAAATCCACCAAACATTTTTTTAATGTTAAAAAATTAAATTGCACTTAGATTCTGTGGAAACTCCTCTAAAATAATCTGAATATTTTATAAATATTAATGTAGACTACCATCAGTTAATAACAAAATCCTTAAAATGGGCTCAAGGATGTCATCTTTCATAAATATATATATATATATAATTATTATTATTATGGGATACAAAGTAAGGTATCTCTAGTGCTACTTTGTTGTATTAATTGAACACACAATTACGATTGAGATGGATGCTCATTTACAAAAACTATTTTAACTGCTATTTAATGCTGTGTGATTACAAAGATGCACTTATAAACACATGCATAATTAACTTCATTATATACAATAAATGTGCAAATACAAATTAATGGGTGGACAATGAATTTTCTTATTTGTGCTTGGAAGAAACAAGGCAATGCACACATATACAGGAATCACAAGTTTAATTGAAGAGGACTGAAGGACAATGTACACCTCACTCTGGAAATCCCCACTAGTCTTCACTTCTGCATAAATTCCAGCTTTCAGAGTTAAAAAGATAAAGTAAGATGTGCTTATTATTTTTATTTCTACTGGATGGTTTGCAAGTATTATATTACATTATAATAGGACTTCATTTAAGCATCAGAAAACACTGGTACAATTTAGTAAAAGAAATATCAGGAAGAAAAAGTACCCAGTTTATGTAATTTTTTCACTCAGTGATATAAAATTTACTGGGAACAGGCAAAGTTATTAAATAAACATAAGACACATATCGCTCTTTTGGTGAAAGGTTCTTACTACTTACTCTGATGTTTTGCTTTCCTTCTCCTATGTCCCATAAAACACTTTAAAAATAAGTAAATCACTGTTATGTCAGTGTTGACTCAGACAAATCAAGGTGCGCCTGAACATAAAACTTGAATTATATACATGAGCTCCAACCTTGCATACTGCTTACAAAAAAGCAGTTTTGTGAGTTGTACAGATTTGGTATTCAAAATTAACTCCTAAACTGAATGAGTAAGACTAATAGTTGTCACAAACTTTCTGAGTATTCCATCACCATAAATCATTTCCAGTGGAAACCAGGATACAGTTTGCATCTCCGCTATTTCCCTCTTCTTAGTTCTACTCATGATTTGATATCACATTTGGAGGAGGTGGCTGTATGTCCTTTCTAGAGCAACAGAAGCAAACGTGATTCTCTATGGGCTGATAGCAAACTTTTACTTACAAATTACTGAGGTTCAGGCTGATCTCAGTAGAAGTTCAAGACTGATGCAACTATCTAGATTCAGATGCAGAGACTATTGCTTAGCAATACAGAGTCTGCCAAAAAAAGGTATATGCACTTTCTGCAGTTTGCCATCCTAAAGGTCAGGAACATTACTAATGGCCACTACTGTGAGTACCTCTTGTAATTGGAGAGGCCAATGATACCTTGTATTACTCTCATGAGGTCCCAATAACTTCATTAAAACATTTAAAGAAGTTTTTCTTTTCCTGATGAATACATTTTTGGGGGCAGACTCTATTTCTATTGCAATATAACATATATAAAGTGTAGAGTCTGATGAATTTTCAGAAACTAATAACACATATGCTGTCAGCCCCAAAATCATGAAGTAGAATATTACCAGCACCCCTGAACACAACTGTTATGCATACTTTAGTAATTACTCCTCATCATTCTAGATTAACATAAATATATTGATTAGTTTTGCCTGCTTTTGCATTTTATATAAACAAAGTCTATACTGCAGTATATATTGTTTTGTGTTTGACTTTTGTTCAATATTAGGTTTGTGAGATTCATTCATGTTAATGTTCAGTTGTTACAGTACAGTACAGAACTCCATTTTTCAATCAGTTGAAAGTTAAGATTAATGTCAATTTGAGACTTTTAGGAATCTTCCCTCAATGAATATTCTTGGATATTTTTGGATGAACACGTGTGCATTTTTTTTTTCTTCAGTACTGGGGATTGAATTTAGGAACTTGCGATTGCCAGGCAACCACTTATTCTACTGAGCTATCTCCCCAGCCCAGTGGGTGGATTTCTGTAGAAATGAGAGTGCTAGGTCATAATGAAGTGTATATTCAATTTTAGTAGTTGCTATTAGTTTTCCAAAGTGGCTGCACAAATTTGCTGCTGCCAGAAGTGTATGAG